GGGCGTCCGGGGAGAGCATCACGACGCTCTGGGGCGTCCGGGGAGAGCATCGCGACGCTCTGGGGCGTCCGGGGAGAGCATCGCCACGCGCTGGGGCGTCCGGGAGAGCATCGCGACGCTCTGGGGCGTCCGGGGAGAGCATCGCGACGCTCTGGGGTGTCCGGGGAGAGCATCACGAGCTCTGGGGCGTCCGGGGAGAGCATCGCGATGCTCTGGGGCGTCCGGGGAGCATCGCGACGCTCTGGGGCGTCCGGGGAGAGCATCGCGACGCTCTGGGGCGTCCGGGGAGAGCATCGCGACGCTCTGGGGCGTCAGAGGAGAGCATCGCGATGCTCTGGGGCGTTCAGGGAGAGCATCGCGATGCTCCGGGGCGGCTGGGGAGAGCATCGCGATGCCATGGGGCGTCCAGGGAGAGCATCGTCACGCTCTGGGGCGTCCGGGGACAGCATCGCGACGCTCTGGGGCGTCCGGAGAGAGCATCGCGATACTCCGGGGCGTTCGGGGAGAGCATCGCGATGCTCTGAGGCGTCCGGGGAGAGAATCGCGACGCTCTGGGGCGTCCGGGGAGAAGCATCGCAACGCTCTGGGGCGTCCGGGGAGAGCATCGCGACGCTCTGGGGCGTCCGAGGGAGAGCATCGCGACGCTCTGGGGCGTCCGAGGAGAGCATCGCGACGCTCTGGGGCGTCCGGGTAGAGCATCGCGACGCTTCGGGGGCGTCCGGGGAGAGCATCGCGACGCTCTGGGGCGTCCGGGGAGAGCATCGCGACGCTCTGGGGCGTCCGGGGAGAGCATCGCGATGCTCTGGGGCGTCCGGGGAGAGCATCGCGACGCTCTGGGGCGTCCGGGGAGAGCATCGCGACGCTCTTGGGCGTCCGGAGAGAGCATCGCGACGCTCTGGGGCGTCCGGGGAGAGCATCGCGACGCTCTGGGGCGTCCGGGGAGAGCATCGCGACGCTCTGGGGCGTCCGCGGAGAGCATCGCGACGCTCTGGGGCGTCCAGGGAGAGCATCGCGATGCTCTGGGGCGTCCGGGGAGAGCATCGCGACGCTCTGGGGCGTCCGGGAGAGCATCGCGACGCTCTAGGGCGTCCGGGGAGAGCATCGCGACGCTCTGGGGCGTCCGGGAGAGCATCGCGACGCTCTGGGGCGTCCGGGGAGAGCATCGCGACGCTCTGGGGCGTCCGGGGAGAGCATCGCGACGCTCTGGGGCGTCCAGGGAGAGCATCGCGATGCTCTGGGGCGTCCGGGGAGAGCATAGCGACGCTCTGGGGCGTCCGGGGAGAGCATCGCGACGCTCTGGGGCGTCCGAGGAGAGCATCGCGACGCTCTGGGGCGTCCGGGGAGAGCATCGCGACGCTCTGGGGCGTCCGGGTAGAGCATCGCGACGCTCTGGGGCGGCTGGGGAGAGCATCGCAACGCTCTGGGGCGTCCGGGTAGAGCATCGCGACGCTCTGGGGCGTCCGGGGAGAGCATCGCGACGCTCTGGGGTGTCCGGGGAGAGCATCGCGACGCTCTGGGGTGTCCGGGGAGAGCATCGCGACGCTCTGGGGCGTCCGGGGAGAGCATCGCGATGCTCTGGGGCGTCCCGGGAGCATCGCGACGCTCTGGGCGTCCGGGGAGAGCATCACGACGCTCTGGGGCGTCCGAGGAGAGCATCGCGACGCTCTTGGGCGTCCGAGGAGAGCATCGCGATGCTCTGGGGCGTTCAAGGAGAGCATCGCGATGCTCCGGGGCGGCTGGGGAGAGCATCGCGATGCTCTGGGGCGTCCGGGGAGAGAATCGTCACGCTCTGGGGCGTCTGGGGACAGCATCGCGACGCTCTGGGGCGTCCGAAGAGAGCATCGCGATGCTCCGGGGCGGCTGGGGAGAGCATCGCGATGCTCTGAGGCGTCCGGGGAGAGCATCGCGACGCTCTGGGGCGTCCGGGGAGAGCATCGCGACGCTCTGGGGAGTCCGGGGAGAGCATCGTGACGCTCTGGGGCGTCCGGGGAAAGTATCGCGATGCTCTGGGGCGTCCGGAAGAGAGCATAGCGACGCTCTGGGGCGTCCGGGAAGAGCATCGCGACGCTCTGGGGCATCCGGGGAGAGCATCGTGACGCTCTGGGGCGTCCGGGGAGAGCATCGCGACGCTCTGGGGCGTCCAGGGAGAGCATCACGACGCTCTGGGGCGGTTGGGGAGAGCATCGCGACGCTCTGGGGCGTCCGGGTAGAGCATTGCGACACTCTGGGGCGTCCGGGGAGAGCATCGCGACGCTCTGGGGCGTCCGGGGAGAGCATCGCGACGCTCTGGGGCGTCCGGGGAGAGCATCGCGATGCTCTGGGGCGTCCAGGGAGAGAATCGCGACGCTCTGGGGCGTCCGGGGAGAGCATAGCGACGCTCTGGGGCGTCCGGGGAGAGCATCGCGACGCTCTGGGGCGTCCGGGGAGAGCATCGCAACGCTCTGGGGCGTCCAGAAAGAGCATCACGACGCTCTGGGGCGTCCGGGGAGAGCATCGCGACGCTCTAGGGCGTCCAGGGAGAGCATCGCAACGCTCTGGGGCGTTCAAGGAGAGCATCGCGACGCTCTGGGGCGGCCGGGGAGAGCATCGCGACGCTCTGGGGCGTCCGGGTAGAGCATCGCGACGCTCTGGGGCGTCCGGGGAGAGGATCGCGACGCTCTGGGGCGTCCGGGGAGAGCATCGCGACGCTCTGGGGTGTCCGGGGAGAGCATCGCGACGCTCTGGGGCGTCCGGGGAGAGCATTGCGACGCTCTGGGGCGTCCGGGGAGAGCATAGCGACGCTCTGGGGCGTCCGGGGAGAACATCGCGACGCTCTGGGGCGTCCGGGGAGAGCATCGCGACGCTCTGGGGCGTCCGGGGAGAGCATCACGACGCTCTGGGGCGGCTGGGGAGAGCATCGCGACGCTCTGGGGCGTCCGGGTAAAGCATCGCGATGCTCTGGGGCGTCCGGGGAGAGCATCGCGACGCTCTCGGGCGTCCGGGGAGAGCATAGCGACGCTCTAGGGCGTCCGAGGAGAGCATCGCGACGCTCTGGGGCGTCTGGGAAGAGCATCGCGACGCTCTGGGGCGTCCGGGGAGAGCATCGCGACGCTCTGGGGCGTCCGGGGAGAGCATCGCGACGCTCTGGGGCGTCCGGGGAGAGCATCGCGATGCTCTAGGGCGTCTGGGGAGAGCATAGCGACGCTCTGGGGCGTCCGGGGAGAGCATCGCGACACTCTGGGGCGTCCGGGGAGAGCATTGCGACGCTATGGGGCGTCCGGGGAGAGCATCGCGACGCTCTGGGGCGTCCGGTGAGAGCATCGCGACTCTCTGGGGCGTCCGGGGAGAGCATCGCGACGCTCTGGGGCGTCCGGGGAGAGCATCGAGACGCTCTGGGGCGTCCGGGGAGAGAATCACGACGCTCTGGGGCGGCTGGGGAGAGCATCACGACGCTCTGGGGCGGCTGGGGAGAGCATCGCGACGCCCTGGGGCGTCTGGGTAGAGCATCGCGACGCTCTGGGGCGTCCGGGGAGAGCATAGCGACGCTCGGGGGCGTCCGGGGAGAGCATCGCGACGCTCCGGGGCGTTCGGGGAGAGCATCGCGACGCTCTGGGGCATTCGGGGAGAGCATCGCGACGCTCTGGGGCGTCCGGGGAGAGCATCGCGACGCTCTGGGGCGTCCGGGGAGAGCATCACGACGCTCTGGGGCGGCTGGGGAGAGCATCGCGATGCTCTGGGGCGTCCGGGGAGAGCATCGCGACGCTCTGGGGCGTCCGGGGAGAGCATCGCGACGCTCTGGGGCGTCCGGGGAAAGTATCGCGATGCTCTGGGGCGTCCGGAGAGAGCATAGCGTTGCTCTGGGGCGTCCGGGAAGAGCATCGCGACGCTCTGGGGCGTCCGGGGAAAGCATCGTGACGCTCTGGGGCGTCCGGGGAGAGCATCGCGACGCTCTGGGGCGTCGGGGGAGAGCATCGCGACGCTCTGGGGCGTCCGGGGAGAGCATCGCGACGCTCTGGGGCGTCCCGGGAGAGCATCACGACGCTCTGGGGCGGCTGGGGAGAGCATCGCGACGCTCTGGGGCGTCCGGGTAGAGCATCGAGACGCTCTGGGGCGTCCGGGGAGAGCATCGCGACGCTTTGGGGCGTCTGGGGAGAGCATCGCGACGCTGTGGGGCGTCCGGGGAGAGCATCGCGACGCTCTGGGGCGTCCAGGGAGAGCATCGCGACGCTCTGGGGCGTCCGAGGAGAGCATCGCGATGCTCTGGGGCGTCCGGGGAGAGCATCGCGACGCTCTGGGGCGTCCGGGGAGAGCATAGCGACGCTCTAGGGCGTCCTGGGAGAGCATCGCGACGCTCTGGGGCTTCCGGGGAGAGCATCGCGACGCTCTGGGGCTTCCGGGGAGAGCATCGCGACGCTCTCGGGCGTCCGGGGAGAGCATCGCGACGCTCTGGGGCTTCCGGAGAGAGCATCGCGACGCTCTGGGGCGTCCGGGGAGAGCATAGCAACGCTCTGGGGCGTCCGGGGAGAGCATCGTGAAGCTCTGGGGCGTCCGGGGAGAGCATCGCGACGGTCTGGGGCGTCCGAGAAGACCATAGCGACGCTCTGGGGCGTCCGGGGAGAGCATCGCGACGCTCTGGGGCGTCCGGGGAGAGCATCGCGACGCTCTGGGGCGTCAGGGGAGAGCATAGCGACTCTCTGGGGCGTCCGGGGAGAGCATCGCGACGCTCTGGGGCGTCCGGGGAGAGCATAGCGACGCTCTGGGGCGTCCGGGGAGAGCATCGCGACGCTCTGGGGCGTCCGGGTAGAGCATCGCGACGCTCTGGGGCGTCGGGGAAGAGCATCGCGACGCTCTGGGGCGTCCGGGGAGAGCATCGCGATGCTCTGGGGCGTCCGGGGGAGAGCATCGCCACGCTCTGAGGCGTCCGGGGAGAGCATCGCGACGCTCTGGGGCCTCCGGGGAGAGCATCGCGACGCTCTGGGGCGTCCGAGGAGAGCATCGCGATGCTCTGGGGCGTCCGGGGAGAGCATCGCGGCGCTCTGGGGCGTACGGGGAGAGCATAGCGACGCTCTGGGGCGTCCGGGGAGAGCATCGCGACGCTCTTGGGCGTCCCGGGAGAGCATCGCGACGCTCTGGGGCTTCCGGGGAGAGCATCGCGACGCTCTCAGGCGTCCGGGGAGAGCATCGCGACGCTCTGGGGCTTCCGGGGAGAGCATCGCGACGCTCTGGGGCGTCCGGAGAGAGCATCACGACGCTCTGGGGCATCCGGGTAGAGCATTGCGACGCTCTGGGGCGTCCGGGGACAGCATCACGACGCTCTGGGGCGTCCGGGGAGAGCATCGCGACGCTCTGGGGCGTTCGGGGAGAGCATCGCGACGCTCTGGGGCGTCCGGGGAGAGCATCGCGACGCTCTAGGGCGTCCGGGGGAGAGCATAGCAACGCTCTGGGGCGTCCGGAGAGAGCATCACGACGCTCTGGGGCGTCCGGGGAGAGCAACGCGACGCTCTGGGGCGTCCGCGGAGAGCATAGCGACGCTCTGGGGCGTCCGGGGAGAGCATCGCGACGCTCTAGGGCGTCCGGGGAGAGCATCGCGACGCTCTGGGGCGTCCGGGGAGAGCATAGCAACGCTCTGGGGCGTCCGGAGAGAGCATCACGACGCTCTGGGGCGTCCGGGGAGAGCAACGCGACGCTCTGGGGCGTCCGGGGAGAGCATCGCGACGCTCTGGGGCTTCCGGGGAGAGCATCGCGACGCTCTCGGGCGTCCGGGGAGAGCATCGCGACGCTCAGGGGTTTCCGGGGAGAGCATCGCGACGCTCTGGGGCGTCCGGGGAGAGCATCGCGACGCTCAGGGGCGTCCGGGGAGAGCATCGCGACGCTCTGGGGCCTCCGGGGAGAGCATCGCGACGCTCTGGGGCGTCCGAGGAGAGCATCGCGATGCTCTGGGGCGTCCGGGGAGAGCATCGCGGCGCTCTGGGGCGTCCGGGGAGAGCATAGCGACGCTCTGGGGCGTCCGGGGAGAGCATCGCGACGCTCTTGGGCGTCCCGGGAGAGCATCGCGACGCTCTGGGGCTTCCGGGGAGAGCATCGCGACGCTCTCAGGCGTCCGGGGAGAGCATCGCGACGCTCTGGGGCGTCCGGGGAGAGCATCGCGACGCTCTGGGGCGTCCCGGGAGAGCATCACGACGCTCTGGGGCGGCTGGGGAGAGCATCGCGACGCTCTGGGGCGTCCGGGTAGAGCATCGAGACGCTCTGGGGCGTCCGGGGAGAGCATCGCGACGCTTTGGGGCGTCTGGGGAGAGCATCGCGACGCTGTGGGGCGTCCGGGGAGAGCATCGCGACGCTCTGGGGCGTCCGGGGAGAGCATCGCGACGCTCTGGGGCGTCCGAGGAGAGCATCGCGATGCTCTGGGGCGTCCGGGGAGAGCATCGCGACGCTCTGGGGCGTCCGGGGAGAGCATAGCGACGCTCTAGGGCGTCCTGGGAGAGCATCGCGACGCTCTGGGGCTTCCGGGGAGAGCATCGCGACGCTCTGGGGCTTCCGGGGAGAGCATCGCGACGCTCTCGGGCGTCCGGGGAGAGCATCGCGACGCTCTGGGGCTTCCGGAGAGAGCATCGCGACGCTCTGGGGCGTCCGGGGAGAGCATAGCAACGCTCTGGGGCGTCCGGGGAGAGCATCGTGAAGCTCTGGGGCGTCCGGGGAGAGCATCGCGACGGTCTGGGGCGTCCGAGAAGACCATAGCGACGCTCTGGGGCGTCCGGGGAGAGCATCGCGACGCTCTGGGGCGTCCGGGGAGAGCATCGCGACGCTCTGGGGCGTCAGGGGAGAGCATAGCGACTCTCTGGGGCGTCCGGGGAGAGCATCGCGACGCTCTGGGGCGTCCGGGGAGAGCATAGCGACGCTCTGGGGCGTCCGGGGAGAGCATCGCGACGCTCTGGGGCGTCCGGGTAGAGCATCGCGACGCTCTGGGGCGTCGGGGAAGAGCATCGCGACGCTCTGGGGCGTCCGGGGAGAGCATCGCGATGCTCTGGGGCGTCCGGGGAGAGCATCGCGACGCTCTGAGGCGTCCGGGGAGAGCATCGCGACGCTCTGGGGCCTCCGGGGAGAGCATCGCGACGCTCTGGGGCGTCCGAGGAGAGCATCGCGATGCTCTGGGGCGTCCGGGGAGAGCATCGCGGCGCTCTGGGGCGTCCGGGGAGAGCATAGCGACGCTCTGGGGCGTCCGGGGAGAGCATCGCGACGCTCTTGGGCGTCCCGGGAGAGCATCGCGACGCTCTGGGGCTTCCGGGGAGAGCATCGCGACGCTCTCAGGCGTCCGGGGAGAGCATCGCGACGCTCTGGGGCTTCCGGGGAGAGCATCGCGACGCTCTGGGGCGTCCGGAGAGAGCATCACGACGCTCTGGGGCATCCGGGTAGAGCATTGCGACGCTCTGGGGCGTCCGGGGACAGCATCACGACGCTCTGGGGCGTCCGGGGAGAGCATCGCGACGCTCTGGGGCGTTCGGGGAGAGCATCGCGACGCTCTGGGGCGTCCGGGGAGAGCATCGCGACGCTCTAGGGCGTCCGGGGAGAGCATAGCAACGCTCTGGGGCGTCCGGAGAGAGCATCACGACGCTCTGGGGCGTCCGGGGAGAGCAACGCGACGCTCTGGGGCGTCCGCGGAGAGCATAGCGACGCTCTGGGGCGTCCGGGGAGAGCATCGCGACGCTCTAGGGCGTCCGGGGAGAGCATCGCGACGCTCTGGGGCGTCCGGGGAGAGCATAGCAACGCTCTGGGGCGTCCGGAGAGAGCATCACGACGCTCTGGGGCGTCCGGGGAGAGCAACGCGACGCTCTGGGGCGTCCGGGGAGAGCATCGCGACGCTCTGGGGCTTCCGGGGAGAGCATCGCGACGCTCTCGGGCGTCCGGGGAGAGCATCGCGACGCTCAGGGGTTTCCGGGGAGAGCATCGCGACGCTCTGGGGCGTCCGGGGAGAGCATCGCGACGCTCAGGGGCGTCCGGGGAGAGCATCGCGACGCTCTAGGGCGTCCGGGGAGAGCATATCGACGCTCTGGGGCATCCAGGGAGAGCATCGCGACGCTCTGGGGCGTCCAGGGAGAGCATAGCAACGCTCTGGGGCGTCCGGGGAGAGCATCACGATGCTCTGGGGCATTCGGGTAGAGCATTGCGACGCTCTGGGGCGTCCGGAAAGAGCATCGCGACGCTCTGGGGCGTCCGGGGAGAGCATCGCGACGCTCTTGGGCGTCCGCGGAGAGCATCACGACGCTCTGGGGCGGCTGGGGAGAGCATCGCGATGCTCTGGGGCGTCCGGGTAGAGCATCGCGACGCTCTTGGGCGTCCGGGGAGAGCATCCCGACGCTCTGGGGCGTCCGGGGAAAGTATCGCGATGCTCTGGGGCGTCCGGAGAGAGCATAGCGACGCTCTGGGGCGTTCGGGAAGAGCATCGCAACGCTCTGGGGCGTCCGGGGAGAGCATCGTGACGCTCTGGGGCGTCCGGGGAGAGCATCGCGACGCTCAAGGGCGTCGGGGGAGAGCATCGCGACGCTCTGGGGCGTCCGGGGAGAGCATCGCGACGCTCTGGGGCGTCCCGGGAGAGCATCACGACGCTTTGGGGCGGCTGGGGAGAGCATCGCGACGCTCTGGGGCGTCCGGGTAGAGCATCGCGACGCTCTGGGGCGTCCGGGGAGAGCATCGCGACGCTTTGGGGCGTCTGGGGAGAGCATCGCGACGCTGTGGGGCGTCCAGGGAGAGCATCGCGACGCTCTGGGGCGTCCGGGGAGAGCATCGCGACGCTCTGGGGCGTCTGAGGAGAGCATCGCGATGCTCTGGGGCGTCCGGGGAGAGCATCGCGACGCTCTGGGGCGTCCGGGGAGAGCATAGCGACGCTCTAGGGCGTCCTGGGAGAGCATCGCGACGCTCTGGAGCGTCCGGGGAGAGCATCGCGACGCTCTGGGGCTTCCGGGGAGAGCATCGCGACGCTCTCGGGCGTCCGGGGAGAGCATCGCGACGCTCTGGGGCTTCCGGGGAGAGCATCGCGACGCTCTGGGGCGTCCGGGGAGAGCATCACGACGCTCTGGGGCATCCGGGTAGAGCATTGCGACGCTCTGGGGCGTCCAGGGAGAGCATCGCGACGCTCTGGGGCGTCCAGGGAGAGCATCGTGACGCTCTGGGGCGTTCGGGGAGAGCATCACGACGCTCTGGGGCGTCCGGGGAGAGCATCGCGACGCTCTAGGGCGTCCGGGGAGAGCATATCGATGCTCTGGGGCATCCGGGAAGAGCATCGCGACGCTCTGGGGCGTCCGGGGAGAGCATAGCAACGCTCTGGGGCGTCCGGGGAGAGCATCGTGAAGCTCTGGGGCGTCCGGGGAGAACATCGCGACGGTCTGGGGCGTCCGGGAAGACCATAGCGACGCTCTGGGGCGTCCGGGGAGAGCATCGCGACGCTCTGGGGCGTCCGGGGAGAGCATAGCGACGCTCTGGGGCGTCCGGGGAGAGCATCGCGACGCTCTGGGGCGTCCGGGTAGAGCATCGCGACGCTCTGGGGCGTCGGGGAAGAGCATCGCGACGCTCTGGGCCGTCCGGGGAGAGCATCGCGATGCTCTGGGGCGTCCGGGGAGAGCATCGCGACGCTCTGAGGCGTCCGGGGAGAGCATCACGACGCTCTGGGGCGTCCGGGGAGAGCATCGCGACGCTCTGGGGCGTCCGAGGAGAGCATCGCGATGCTCTGGGGCGTCCGGGGAGAGCATCGCGGCGCTCTGGGGCGTCCGGGGAGAGCATAGCGACGCTCTGGGCCGTCCGGGGAGAGCATCGCGACGCTCTTGGGCGTCCCGGGAGAGCATCGCGACGCTCTGGGGCTTCCGGGGAGAGCATCGCGACGCTCTCAGGCGTCCGGGGAGAGCATCGCAACGCTCTGGGGCTTCCGGGGAGAGCATCGCGACGCTCTGGGGCGTCCGGGGAGAGCATCACGACGCTCTGGGGCATCCGGGTAGAGCATTGCGACGCTCTGGGGCGTCCGGGGACAGCATCGCGACGCTCTGGGGCGTCCGGGGAGAGCATCGCGACGCTCTGGGGCGTTCGGGGAGAGCATCGCGACGCTCTGGGGCGTCCGGGGAGAGCATCGCGACGCTCTAGGGCGTCCGGGGAGAGCATAGCAACGCTCTGGGGCGTCCGGAGAGAGCATCACGACGCTCTGGGGCGTCCGGGGAGAGCAACGCGACGCTCTGGGGCGTCCAAGGAGAGCATAGCGACGCTCCGGGGCATCCGGGGAGAGCATCGCGACGCTCTGGGGCGTCCGGGGAGAGCATAGCAACGCTCTGGGGCGTCCGGAGAGAGCATCACGACGCTCTGGGGTGTCCGGGGAGAGCAACGCGACGCTCTGGGGCGTCCGGGGAGAGCATAGCGACGTTCTGGGGCGTCCGGGGAGAGCATCGCGACGCTCTAGGGCGTCCGGGGAGAGCATCGCGACGCTCTGGGGATTCCGGGGAGAGCATCGCGACGCTCTCGGGCGTCCGGGGAGAGCATCGCGACGCTCTGGGGCTTCCGGGGAGAGCATCGCGACGCTCTGGGGCGTCCGGGGAGAGCATCGCGACGCTCTGGGGCATCCGGGTAGAGCATTGCGACGCTCTGGGGCGTCCGGGGAGAGCATCGCGACGCTCTAGGGCGTCCGGGGAGAGCATCGCGATGCTCTAGGGCGTCCGGGGAGAGCATATCGACGCTCTGGGGCATCCGGGGAGAGCATCGCGACGCTCTGGGGCGTCCGGGGAGAGCATCGCGACGCTCTGGGGCGTCCGAGGAGAGCATCGCGACGCTCTGGGGCATCCACGGAGAGCATCGCGACGCTCTGGGGCGTCCAGGGAGAGCATAGCAACGCTCTGGGGCGTCCGGGGAGAGCATCGCGACGCTCTGGGGCGTCCGGGGAGTGCATCGCGATGCTCTGGGGCGTTCGGGGAGAGCATCGCGACGCTCTGGGGCGTCCGGGGAGAGCATCGCGATGCTCTAGGGCGTCCGGGGAGAGCATATCGACGCTCTGGGGCATCCGGGGAGAGCATCGCGACGCTCTGGGGCGTCCGGGGAGAGCATCGCGACGCTCTGGGGCGTCCGAGGAGAGCATCGCGACGCTCTGGGGCGTCCGGGGAGAGCATCGCGATGCTCTGGGGCGTCCGGGGAGAGCATAGCGACGCTCTGGGGCGTCCGGGGAGAGCATCGCGACGCTCTGGGGCGTCCGAGGAGAGCATCGCGACGCTCTGGTGCGTCTGGGGAGAGCATCGTGACGCTCTGGGGCGTCTGGGGAGAGCATCGCGATGGTCTGGGGCGTCCGGGGAGAGCATCGCGACGCTCTGGGGCGTCCGGGGAGAGCATCGCGACGCTCTGGGGCATCCGGGTAGAGCATTGCGACGCTCTGGGGCGTCCGGGGAGAGCATCGCGACGCTCTGGGGCGTCCGGGGAGAGCATCGCGACGCTCTAGGGCGTCCGGGGAGAGCATATCGATGCTCTGGGGCATCGAGGGAGAGCATCGCGACGCTCTGGGGCGTCCGGGGAGAGCATAGCAACGCTCTGGGGCGTCCGGGGAGAGCATCACGATGCTCTGGGGCATCCGGGTAGAGCATAGCGACGCTCTGGGGCGTCCGGGGAGAGCATCGCGACGCTCTGGTGCGTCTGGGGAGAGCATCGTGACGCTCTGGGGCGTCTGGGGAGAGCATCGCGATGCTCTGGGGCGTCCGGGGAGAGCATCGCGACGCTCTGGGGCGTCCGGGGAGAGCATCGCGACGCTCTGGGGCGTCCGGGGAGAGCATAGCGACGCTCTGGGGCGTCCGGGGAGAGCATCGCGACGCTCTGGGGCGTCCGGGGAGAGCATCGCGACGCTCTGGGGCTTCCGGGGAGAGCATCGCGACGCTCTCAGGCGTCCGGGGAGAGCATCGCGACGCTCTGGGGCGTCCGGGGAGAGCATCGTGACGCTCTGGGGCGTCCGGGGAGAGCATCGCGACGCTCTTGGGCGTCCGGGGAGAGCATCGCGACGCTCTGGGGCGTCCGGAGAGAGCATAGCGACGCTCTGGGGCGTCCGGGGAGAGCATTGCGACGCTATGGGGCGTCCGGGGAGAGCATCGCGACGCTTTGGGGCGTCCGGTGAGAGCATCGCGACTATCTGGGGCGTCCAGGGAGAGCATCGCGACGCTCTGGGGCGTCCGGGGAGAGCATCACGACGCTCTGGGGCGGCTGGGGAGAGCATCACGATGCTCTGGGGCGGCTGGGGAGAGCATCGCGACGCTCTGGGGCGTCCGAGGAGAGCATCGCGACACTCTGGGGCGTCCGGGGAGAGCATTGCGACGCTATGGGGCGTCCGGGGAGAGCATCGCGACGCTCTGGGGCGTCGAGTGAGAGCATAGCGACGCTCTGGGGCGTCCGGGGAGAGCATCGCGACGCTCTGGGGCGTCCGGGGAGAGCATCGCGACGCTCTGGGGCGTCTGGGGAGAGCATCGTGACGCTCTGGGGCGTCTGGGGAGAGCATCGCGATGCTCTGGGGCGTCCGGGGAGAGCATCGCGACGCTCTGGGGCGTCCGGGGAGAGCATCGCGACGCTCTGGGGCGTCCGGGAAGAGCATCGCGACGCTCTGGGGCGTCCGGGGAGAGCATCGCGACGCTCTGGGGCGTCCGGGGAGAGCATCGTGACGCTCTGGGGCATCCGGGGAGAGCATCGCGACGCTCTGGGGCGTCCGGGGAGAGCATCGCGACGCTCTGGGGCGTCCGGGGAGAGCATTGCGACGCTATGGGGCGTCCGGGGAGAGCATCGCGACGCTCTGGGGCGTCGGGTGAGAGCATCGCGACTCTCTGGGTCGTCCGGGGAGAGCATCGCGACGCTCTGGGGCGTCCGGGGAGAGCATCGCGACGCTCTGGGGCGTCCAGGGAGAGCATCACGATGCTCTGGGGCGGCTGTGGAGAGCATCGCGACGCCCTGGGGCGTCTGGGTAGAGCATCGCGACGCTCTAGGGCGTCCGGGGAGAGCATAGCGACGCTCGGGGGCGTCCGGGGAGAGCATCGCGACGCTCCGGGGCGTCCGGGGAGAGCATCGCGACGCTCTGGGGCAGTCGGGGAGAGCATCGCGACGCTCTGGGGCGTCCGGAGAGAGCATCGCGACGCTCTGGGGCGTCCGGGGAGAGCATCACGACGCTCTGGGGCGGCTGGGGAGAGCATCGCGATGCTCTGGGGCGTCCGGGTAGAGCATCGCGACGCTCTGGGGCGTCCGGGGAGAGCATCGCGACGCTCTGGAGCGTCCGGGGAAAGTATCGCGATGCTCTGGGTCGTCCGGAGAGAGCATAGCGACGCTCTGGGGCGTCCGGGAAGAGCATCGCGACGCTCTGGGGCGTCCGGGGAGAGCATCGTGAAGCTCTGGGGCGTCCGGGGAGAGCATCGCGACGCTGTGGGGCGTCCGGTGAGAGCATAGCGACGCTCTGGGGCGTCCGGGGAGAGCATCGCGACGCTCTGGGGCGTCCGGGGAGAGCATCGCGACGCTCTGGGGCGTCTGGGGAGAGCATCGTGACGCTCTGGGGCGTCTGGGGAGAGCATCGCGATGCTCTGGGGCGTCCACGGAGAGCATCGCGACGCTCTGGGGCGTCCGGGGAGAGCATCGCGACGCTCTCGGGCGTCCGAGAAGAGCATCGCGACGCTCTGGGGCGTCCGGGGAGAGCATCGCGACGCTCTGGGGCGTCCGGGGAGAGCATCGTGACGCTCTGGGGCGTTCGGGGAGAGCATCGCGACGCTCTGGGGCGTCCGGGGAGAGCATCGCGACGCTCTGGGGCGTCCGGGGAGAGCATAGCGACGCTCTGGGGCGTCCGGGGAGAGCATCGCGACACTCTGGGGCGTCCGGGGAGAGCATTGCGACGCTATGGGGCGTCCGGGGAGAGCATCGCGACGCTCTGGGGCGTCTGGTGAGAGCATCGCGACGCTCTGGGGCGTCCGGGGAGAGCATCACGACGCTCTGGGGCGGCTGGGGAGAGCATCACGACGCTCTGGGGCGGCTGGGGAGAGCATCGCGACGCCCTGGGGCGTCTCGGTAGAGCATTGCGACGCTCTGGGGCGTCCGGGGAGAGCATAGCGACGCTCGGGGGCGTCCGGGGAGAGCATCGCGACGCTCCGGGGCGTCCGCGGAGAGCATCGCGACGCTCTGGGGCGTTCGGGGAGAGCATCGCGACGCTCTGGGGCGTCCGAGGAGAGCATCGCGACGCTCTGGGGCGTCCGGGGAGAGCATCACGACGCTCTGGGGCGGCTGGGGAGAGCATCGCGATGCTCTGGGGCGTCCGGGTAGAGCATCCCGACGCTCTGGGGCGTCCGGGGAGAGCATCGCGACGCTCTGGAGCGTCCGGGGAAAGTATCGCGATGCTCTGGGTCATCCGGAGAGAGCATAGCGACGCTCTGGGGCGTCCGGGAAGAGCATCGCGACGCTCTGGGGCGTCCGGGGAGAGCATCGTGACGCTCTGGGGCGTCCGGGGAGAGCATAGCGATGCTCTGGGCCGTCCGGGGAGAGCATCGCGACGCTTTGGGGCGTCCGGAGAGAGCATCGCGACGCTCTGGGGCGTCAGGGGAGAGCATAGCGACGCTCTGGGGCATCCGGGGACAGCATCGCGACGCTCTGGGGCGTCCGGGGAGAGCATAGCGACGCTCTGGGGGCGTCCGGGTAGAGCATCGCGACGCTCTGAGGCGTCAGGGGAGAGCATAGCGACGCTCTGGGGCATCCAGGGAGAGCATCGCGACGCTCTGGGGCGTCCAGGGAGAGCATAGCGACGCTCTGGGGCGTCCAGGGAGAGCATCGCGACGCTCTGGGGCGTCCGGGTAGAGCATCGCGACGCTCTGGGGCGTCCGGGAAGAGCATCGCGACGCTTTGGGGCGTCAAGAGAGAGCATCACGACGCTCTGGGCGTCAGGGGAGAGCATAGCGACGCTCTGGGGCATCCGGGGAGAGCATCGCGATGCTCTGGGGCGTCCAGGGAGAGCATAGCGAGGCTCTGGGGCGTCCGGGGAGAGCATCGCGACGCTCTGGGCGTCCGGGGAGAGCATCGCGACGCTCTGGGGCGTCCGGGGAAAGCATCGCGATGCTCTGGGGCGTCCGGGGAGAGCATCGTGAAGCTCTGGGGCGTCGGGGGAGAGCATCGCGACGCTCTGGGGCGTTCGGGGAGAGCATCGTGACGCTCTGGGGCGTCCGAGGAGAGCATCGCGACGCTCTGGGGCGTCTGGGGAGAGCATCGCGACGCTCTGGGGCGTCCGGGGAGAGCATCGCGACGGTCTGGGGCGTCCGGGAAGACCATAGCGACGCTCTGGGGCGTCCGGGGAGAGCATCGCGACGCTCTGGGGCGTCCGGGGAGAGCATCGCGACGCTCTGGGGCGTCAGGGGAGAGCATAGCGACGCTCTGGGGCGTCCGGGGAGAGCATCGCGACGCTCTGGGGCGTCCGGGGAGAGCATAGCGACGCTCTGGGGCGTCCGGGGAGAGCATCGCGACGCTGTGGGGCGTCCGTGTAGAGCATCGCGACGCTCTGGGGCGTCCGGGAAGAGCATCGCGACGCTCTGGGGCGTCCGGGGAGAGCATCGCGACGCTCTGGGGCGTCCGGGGAGAGCATCGCGTCGCTCTGTGGCGTCCGGGGAGAGCATAGCGACGCTCCGGGGCGTCCGGGAAGACCATAGCGACGCTCTGGGGCGTCCGGGGAGAGCATCGCGACGCTCTGGGGCGTCCGGGGAGAGCATCGCGACGCTCTGGGGCGTCAGGGGAGAGCATAGCAACGCTCTAGGGCGTCCGGGGAGAGCATCGCGACGCTCTGGGGCGTTCGGGGATAGCATAGCGACGCTCTGGGGCGTCCGGGGAGAGCATCGCGACGCTCTGGGGCGTCCGGATAGAGCATCGCGACGCTCTGGGGCGTCCGAGGAGAGCATCGCGACGCTCTGGGGCGTCCGGGGAGAGCATCGCGACGCTCTGGGGCGTCCGGGGAGAGCATCGCGACGCTCTGGGGCGTCCGGGGAGAGCATCGCGACGCTCTGGGGCCTCCGGGGAGAGCATCGCGACGCTCTGGGGCGTCCGGGGAGAGCATCGCGACGCTCTGGGGCGTCAGGGGAGAGCATAGCGACGCTCTGGGGCGTCCGGGGAGAGCATCGCGACGCTCTGGGGCGTCCGGGGAGAGCATAGCGACGCTCTGGGGCGTCCGGGGAGAGCATCGCGACGCTGTGGGGCGTCCGTGTAGAGCATCGCGACGCTCTGGGGCGTCCGGGAAGAGCATCGCGACGCTCTGGGGCGTCCGGGGAGAGCATCGCGACGCTCTGGGGCGTCCGGGGAGAGCATCGCGTCGCTCTGTGGCGTCCGGGGAGAGCATAGCGACGCTCCGGGGCGTCCGGGAAGACCATAGCGACGCTCTGGGGCGTCCGGGGAGAGCATCGCGACGCTCTGGGGCGTCCGGGGAGAGCATCGCGACGCTCTGGGGCGTCAGGGGAGAGCATAGCAACGCTCTAGGGCGTCCGGGGAGAGCATCGCGATGCTCTGGGGCGTTCGGGGATAGCATAGCGACGCTCTGGGGCGTCCGGGGAGAGCATCGCGACGCTCTGGGGCGTCCGGATAGAGCATCGCGACGCTCTGGGGCGTCCGGGGAGAGCATCGCGACGCTCTGGGGCGTCCGGGGAGAGCATCGCGACGCTCTGGGGCGTCCGGGGAGAGCATCGCGACGCTCTGGGGCGTCCGGGGAGAGCATCGCGACGCTCTGGGGCCTCCGGGGAGAGCATCGCGACGCTGTGAGGCGTGCGGGGAGAGCATAGCGACGCTCTGGGGCCTCCGGGGAGAGCATCGCGACGCTCTGGGGCGTCCGGGGAGAGCATCGCGACGCTCTGGGGCGTCCGGGGACAGCATCGCGACGCTTTGGGGCGTCCGGAGAGAGCATCGCGACGCTCTGGGGCGTCAGGGGAGAGCATAGCGACGCTTTGGGGCATCCGGGGACAGCATCGCGACGCTCTGGGGCGTCCGGGAAGACCATAGCGACGCTCTGGGGGCGTCCGGGTAGAGCATCGCGACGCTCTGAGGCGTCAGGGGAGAGCATAGCGACGCTCTGGGGCATCCGGGGAGAGCATCGCGACGCTCTGGGGCGTCCAGGGAGAGCATAGCGACGCTCTGGGGCGTCCAGGGAGAGCATCGCGACGCTCTGGGGCGTCCGGGTAGAGCATCGCGACGCTCTGGGGCGTCCGGGAAGAGCATCGCGACGCTTTGGGGCGTCTGGAGAGAGCATCACGACGCTCTGGGCGTCAGGGGAGAGCATAGCGACGCTCTGGGGCATCCGGGGAGAGCATCGCGATGCTCTGGGGCGTCCAGGGAGAGCATAGCGAGGCTCTGGGGCGTCCGGGGAGAGCATCGCGACGCTCTGGGCGTCCGGGGAGAGCATCGCGACGCTCTAGGGCGTCCGAGGAAAGCATCGCGATGCTCTGGGGCGTCCGGGGAGAGCATCGTGAAGCTCTGGGGCGTCGGGGGAGAGCATCGCGACGCTCTGGGGCGTTCGGGGAGAGCATCACGACGCTCAGGGGCGGCTGGGGAGAGCATCGCGACGCTCTGGAGCGTCTGGGTAGAGCATCGCGACGCTCTGGGGCGTCCGGGGAGAGCATCGCGACGCTCTGGGGCGTCCGGGGAGAGCATCGTGAAGCTCTGGGGCGTCCGGGGAGAGCATCGCGACGCTCTGGGGCGTCCGGAGAGAGCATCGCGACGCTCTGGGGCGTCAGGGGAGAGCATAGCGACGCTCAGGGGCGTCCGGGGAGAGCATCGCGACGCTCTGGGGCGTCCGGGGAGAGCATCGCGACGCTCTGGGGCGTCCGGGGAGACCATAGCGACGCTCTGGGGCGTCCGGGGAGAGCATCGCGACGCTCCGGGGCGTCTGGGGAGAGCATCGCGACGCTCTGGGGCATCAGGGGAGAGCATAGCAACGCTCTGGGGCGTCCGAGGAGAGCATTGCGACGCTCTGGGGCGTCCGGGTAGAGCATCGCGACGCTCTGGGGCGTCCGGGGAGAGCATCGCGACGCTCTGGGGCGTCCGAGGAGAGCATCGCGACGCTCTGGGGCGTCCGGGGAGACCATAGCGACGCTCTGGGGCGTCCGGGGAGAGCATCGCGACGCTCCGGGGCGTCCGGGGAGAGCATCGTGACGCTCTGGGGCGTCAGGGGAGAGCATAGCGACGCTCTGGGGCGTCCGAGGAGAGCATTGCGACGCTCTGGGGCGTCCGGGAAGAGCATCGCGACGCTCTGGGGCGTCCGGGGAGAGCATCGCGACGCTCTGGGGCGTCCGGGTAGAGCATCGCGACGCTCTGGGGCGTCCGGGAAGAGCATCGCGACGCTTTGGGGCGTCCGGAGATAGCATCACGACGCTCTGGGGCGTCAGGGGAGAGCATAGCGACGCTCTGGGGCATCCGGGGAGAGCATCGCGACGCTCTGGGGCGTCCAGGGAGAGCATAGCGAGGCTCTGGGGCGTCCGGGGAGAGCATCGCGACGCTCTGGGGCGTCCGGGGAGAGCATCGCGACGCTCTGGGGCGTCCGGGGAGAGCATCGCGACGCTCTGGGGCGTCCGGGGAGAGCATCGTGAAGCTCTGGGGCGTCCCGGGAGAGCATCGCGACGCTCTGGGGCGTTCGGAGAGAGCATCGCGACGCTCTGGGGCGTCAGGGGAGAGCATAGCGACGCTCAGGGGCGTCCGGGGAGAGCATCGCGACGCTCTGGGGCGTCCGGGGAGAGCATCGCGACGCTCTGGGGCGTCCGGGGAGAGCATCGCGACGCTCTGGGGCGTCCGGGGAGAGCATCGCGACGCTCCGGGGCGTCCGGGGAGAGCATCGCGACGCTCTGGGGCGTCAGGGGAGAGCATAGCGACGCTCTGGGGCGTCCGGGGAGAGCATCGCGACGCTCTGGGGAGAGCATCGCTATGGGTCTCCCCGGACGCCCCAGAGCGTCGCGATGCTCTCCTCGGACGCCCCAGAGCGTCGCGATGCTCTCCCCGGACGCCCCAGAGCGCCGCGATGCTCTCCCCGGACGCCCCAGAGCGTCGCGATGCTCTACCCGGACGCCCCAGAGCGTCGCGATGCTCTCCCCAGCCGCCCCAGAGTGTCGTGATGCTCTCCCCGGACGCCCCAGAGCGTCGCGATGCTCTCCCCGGACGCCCCAGAGCGTCACGATGCTCTCCCCCGGACGCCCCAGAGCGTCGCGATGCTCTCCCCATACGCCCCAGAGCGTTGCTATGCTCTCCCCGGACGCCCCAGAGCGTCGCGATGCTCTCCCCGGACGCCCCAGAGCGTCGCGATGCTCTTCCCGGACGCCCCAGAGGGTCGCGATGCTCTCCCCGGACGCTCCAGAGCATCGCGATGCTCTCCTTGGACGCCCCAGAGCATCGCGATTCTCTCCCCGCACGCCCCAGAGCGTCGCGATGCTCTCCCCGGACGCCCCAGAGCGTCGCGATGCTCTCCCCGGACGCCCCAGAGCGTCGCGTTGCTCTACCCGGACGCCCCAGAGCGTCGCGATGCTCTCCCCGGACGCCCCAGAGCGTCGCGATTTTCTCTCCGGACGCCCCAGAGCGTCGCGATGCTCTCCTCGGACGCCCCAGAGCTTCACGATGCTCTCCCCGGATGCCCCAGAGCGTCGCGATGCTCTCCCCGGACGCCCCAGAGCGTCGTGATGCTCTCCCCGGACGCCCCAGAGCGTCGCGATGCTCTCCCTGGACGCCCCAGAGCGTCGCTATGCTCTCCCCGGACGCCCCAGAGCGTCGCGATGCTCTCCCCGGACGCCCCAGAGCATCGCGATGCTCTCCCCGGACGCCCGAGAGCGTCGCAATGCTCTCCCCAGACGCCCCAGAGCGTCGCGATGCTCTCCCCGGACGCCCCGGAGCGTCAATATGGTCTCCCCGGACGCCCCAGAGCGTCGCAATGCTCTCCCCAGACGCCCCTGAGCGTCGCGATGCTCTCCCCGGACGCCCAAAGCGTCGCGATGCTCTCCCCGGACGCCCCAGAGCGTCGCGATGCTCTCCCCGGACGCCCCAGAGCATCGCGATGCTTTACCCGGACACCCCAGCGCGTCGCAATGCTCTCCCCGGACGCCCCAGAGCGTCGCGATGCTCTCTCCGGACGCCCCAGAGCATCGCGATGCTCTCCCCGGACGCCCCAGAGCGTCGCGATGCTCTCCCCGGACGCCCCAGAGCGCCGCGATGCTCTCCCCGGACGCCCCAGAGCATCACGATGCTCTCCCCGGACGCCCCAGAGCGTCGCTATGCTCTCCCCGGACGCCCCAGAGCGTCGCGATGCACTCCTCGGACGCCCCAGAGCATCGTGATGCTCTCCCCGGAAGCCCCAGAGCGTCGCAATGCTCTCCCCGAACGCCCCAGAGCATCGCGATGCTCTCCCCGGACGCCCCAGAGCGTCGCGATGCTCTACCCGTACGCCCCAGAGCGTCGCGATGCTCTCCCCAGCCGCCCCAGAGCGTCGTGATGCTCTCCCCGGACGCCCCAGAGCGTCGCGATGCTCTCCCCGGACGCCCCAGAGCGTCGCGATGCTCTCCTCGGACGCCCCAGAGCGTCACGATGCTCTCCCCGGACGCCCCAGAGCGTCGCGATGCTCTCCCTGGACACCCCGGAGCGTCGCTATGCTCTCCCCGGACGCCCCAGAGCATCGCGATGCTCTCCCCGGACGCCCTAGAGCGTCGCGATGCTCTTTCCAGACGCCCCAGAGCATCGCGATGCTCTCCCCGGACACCCCAGAGCGTCGCGATGCTCTCCCGGGACGCCCCAGAGCGTCGCGATGCTCTCCCCGGACGCCCCAGAGCGTCGTGATGCTCTACCCGGACGCTCCAGAGCGTCGCGATGCTCTCCCCAGCCGCCCCAGAGCGTCGTGATGCTCTCCCCGGACGCCCCAGAGCGTCGCGATGCTCTCCCCGGACGCCCAAGAGCGCCGCGATGCTCTCCCCCGACGCCCCAGAGCGTCGCGATGCTCTCCCCGGACGCCCCAGAGCGTCACGATGCTCTCCTCGGACGCCCCACAGCGTCGCGATGCTCTTCCCGGACGCCCCAGAGCGTCGCTATGCTCTCTCTGGACGCCCCAGAGCATCGCGATACTTTCCCCGGACGCCCCAGAGCGTCGCGATGCTCTCCCCGGACGCCCCAGAGCGTCGCGATGCTCTACCCGGACGCCCCAGAGCATCGCGATGCTCTCCCCAGCCGCCCCAGAGCGTCGCGATGCTCTCCCCGAACGCCCCAGAGCGTCGCGATGCTCTCCCCGGACGCCCCAGAGAGTCGCGATGCTCTCCCCGGACGCCCCAGAGCGTCGCGATGCTCTCCCCGGACGCCCCAGAGCGTCGCTATGCTCTCCCCTGACGCCCCAGAGCGTCGCGATGCTCTCCCCGGACGCCCCAGAGCGTCACGATGCTCTCCCCGGACGCCCCAGAGCGTCGCTATGGTCTCCCCGGACGCCCCAGAGCGTCGCGATGCTCTCCCCGGACGCCCCAGAGCATCGCGATGCTCTCCCCGGACGCCCGAGAGCGTCGCAATGCTCTCCCCGGACGCCCCAGAGCGTCGCGATGCTCTCCCCGGACGGCCCAGAGCGTCACGATGCTCTCCCCGGACGCCCCAGAGTGTCGCTATGCTCTCCCCGGACGCCCCAGAGCGTCGCGATGCTCTCCCCGGACGCCCCAGAGCATCGTGATGCTCTCCCCGGACGCCCCAGAGCGTCGCAATGCTTTCCCCGAACGCCCCAGAGCATCGCGATGCTCTCCCCGGACGCCCCAGAGCGTCGCGATGCTCTACCCGTACGCCCCAGAGCGTCGCGATGCTCTCCCCAGCTGCCCCAGAGCGTCGTGATGCTCTCCCCGGACGCCCCAGAGCGTCGCGATGCTCTCCCCGGACGCCCCAGAGCGTCCCGATGCTCTCCTCGGACGCCCCAGAGCGTCACGATGCTCTCCCCAGACGCCCCAGAGCGTCGCGATGCTCTCCCCGGACGCCCCGGAGCGTCGCTATGCTCTCCCCGGACGCCCCAGAGCGTCGCGATGCTCTCCCCGGACGCCCCAGAGCGTCGCGATGCTCTTTCCAGACGCCCCAGAGCATCGCGATGCTATCCCCGGACGCCCCAGAGCGTCGCGATGCTCTCCCCGGACGCCCCAGAGCGTCGCGATGCTCTCCCCGGACGCCCCAGAGCGTCGCGATGCTCTACCCGGACGCCCAAGAGCGTCGCGATGCTCTCCCCAGCCGCCCCAGAGCGTCGTGATGCTCTCCCCGGACGCCCCAGAGCGTCGCGATGCTCTCCCCGGACGCCCCAGAGCGTCGGGATGCTCTCCCCCGACGCCCCAGAGCGTCGCGATGCTCTCCCCGGACGCCCCAGAGCGTCACGATGCTCTCCCCGGACGCCCCAGAGCGTCGCGATGCTCTTCTCGGACGCCCCAGAGCGTCACTATGCTCTCTCCTGACGCCCCAGAGCATCGCGATACTTTCCCCGAACACCCCAGAGCGTCGCGATGCTTTCCCAGGACGCCCCAGAGCGTCGCGATGCTCTACCCGGACGCCCCAGAGCATCGCGATGCTCTCCCCAGCCGCCCCAGAGCGTCGTGATGCTCTCCCCTGACGCCCCAGAGCGTCGCGATGCTCTCCCCGGACGCCCCAGAGCGTCGCGATGCTCTCCCCGAACGCCCCAGAGCGTCGCGATGCTCTCCCCGGACACCCCAGAGCGTCGTAATGCTCTCCCCGGACGCCCCCGAGCGTCGCTATGCTCTCCCTGGACGCCCCAGAGCATCGCGATGCTCTCCTCGGACGCCCCAGAGCGTCGCGATGCTCTCCCCGGACGCCCCAGAGCGTCGCGATGCTCTCCCTGGACGCCCCAGAGCATCGCGATGCTCTCCTCGGACGCCCCAGAGCGTCGCGATGCTCTCCCCGAACGCCCCAGAGCGTCGCGATGCTCTCCCCGGACGCCCCACAGCGTCGCGATGCTCTCCCCGGACGCCCTAGAGCGTCGCGATGCTCTCCCCAGACGCCTCAGAGCGTTGCTATGCTCTCCCTGGATGCCCCAGAGCGTCGCGATGCTCTACTCGGACGCCCCAGACCGTCGCGATGCTCTCCCCGGACGCCCCAGAGCATCGCGATGCTCTCCCCGGACGCCCGAGAGCGTCGCGATGCTCTCCCCGGACGCCCCAGAGCGTCGTGATGCTCTCCCCGGACGCCCCTGAGCGTCGCTATGCTCTCCCCTGACGCCCCAGAGCGTCGCGATGCTCTCTCCGGACGCCCCAGAGCGTCGCGATGCTCTCCCTGGACGCCCCAGAGCTTCACGATGCTCTCCCCGGACGCCCCAGAGCGTCGCGATGCTCTCCCCGGACGCCCCAGAGCGTCGCGATGCTCTACCCGGACGCTCCAGAGCGTCGCGATGCTCTCCCCAGCCGCCCGTGAGCGTCGTGATGTGTTATAGTCACAATAGGCTTGAATGTGCCTAAAACGAAAGATAGAGAGCACAGACGGATTTCTGCACAGCGGCTTCAAACGATGATAGCGTTCTGCTCACAGCTGCAAATGACTTGATTCAAATTGGATCTGGAGCGTCTTCACGTTGTCTACAGTTAGCAATTTAGATTGCACGATTTGATAAAGAATTGACGACACAGCGTCGGTTTGAACGAACGGTACTATGGCAGCCACTATAGTCTTAGAACACAAGATAGGAAGAGTTACGAGTTGGGAATGACTCCCAGCTCCTACAAACCCCAAGAGCCGAGGTACAGTGATGTGGAACAGTGCCACACTGTCCCCAACCACGAAGGGTCTCGAAACTACCCTTCACTAGGGCCTACACCAAGTGAAATGTTACACTACACAAAGTAATGTAACTATCTTCAATATCTTGAGGTGTACCCTTTTGGCAAGCTTCGAAATCACTTGAGGCTTGACACCAAGGCTCGGGCTCTTCATCACAAACTCATCCTTGAGTTCTTGATGGGTCTGCTGCACACACCTGCGACACGCCGAACGTTCGACACAGGACAAAATAGAAACCGCGCACGACAAAATAGAAACCGCGCGCGAGACACAAACGACCGCGTAACACGCGTCTAGCGATAACTCGCTATTGACTCGACACACACACTCGACATCATGACTCAACATTCACACACAATTATAAGCATGAAATATATATTATCCCATGCCCTCATACCATTCCATACACACACACATTCACGCACACGGACAACAAGCCGAGTGCAAACCGTAGGGTTGCACCAACAAACTCCCCCTCGGATTGTTGGCCTTGGGATATGTTGCTCTCTCAGTTCAGAGCCATCCCAGCCAGCTTGCAACACTTCCAATGCTGCTGCTCTACCAGCCTCTTGGTCATCATGTCAGCCGGCTGCCCCGTGGTCTTCACGTAGCGCAACTCAACTTCACCCGCGGTTACCATGCTCCTCGTCCAATGCCACTTCACCCTCATGTGCTTTGTGAGTCCATGCAACACAGGGTTCTTAGCAAGAGCAATGGCACCCTGGCTGTCACAGTACAGTGGGGTAGGTCCTTGCTGCTCCTCCCCCAATTCAGCCAACAAACGCCGCTGCCACACAATCTCCCGTACGGCACGGAAGAGTGCCATGTACTCGGACTCCACCGAGCTCAAAGCTTGGTCAACCTGCTTCTTGCTCTCCCAAGCAGTTGGGCCTCCACCAACACAGCATATGAAGCCTCCCACACTTGTCATGTCCTCTGGTTCTGATGCATATGAAGCATCCGAGTAGGCGGTGAGGAACAAACGCCCGGGTTCAACACCATCCGCGCCCTTTTGGCGCCTTTGTGCCGCCGCCGAGTATTGCAGCCCAACGGTCGGTGTTTGGCCAAGATACTTGGCCACCCTCATTCCAGCTGCTACCTGCTCCTCATTAGGGCATTGCACAACCCTAGCCAGCTGCCCGGTAGCAAACGCGACGTCCGGTCGGGTGTTTACCGCCGCATACATGAGGCTGCCCACCAACGAGTGAAATCGGCGCCTCTCCTCTTCTCCAACGCTCTCCTCCTCTGGCCCCTTCACACACTTGAACCCAGAGGGAAAGGGAGTAGCCACATGACCTTCACTCTGGCCGAAGTTGGCAGCCAACGCCTCCAGGTACTTCCGTTGGTGCACTCGTATGCTCCTCTTCTCCACGTCTCGTTCGATGTGGAGCCCAAGGTAGAAGTTCACGTCACCAAGGGACTTGCACTTGAACTTGTCTTGCAGCTTCAGCATCACCTCCTTCACATGGTCAGGAGAGGGTGAGAAGATCAGGATGTCATCCACGTACACCACCATGAAGCTCCTCTGCTCCCCCTCGCCAAGCATGAACAAGGAGTGATCGGCCGTTGAGGGAGTGAAGCCGATCCCCTCCAACACTTCGCGCAGCTTCATGTACCATTGCCTAGGGGCCTGCTTCAGCCCATAGAGGGCCTTCTTCAGCTTCCACACTCTGCCACTACCATCATCAAACCCCTCTGGCTGCGCCATAAAAATCTCCTCCTCAAGGATGCCGTTAAGGAATGCCGTTACGATGTCCATTTGCTTTACTACCCATCCTTTGATGGCAGCTCCCGCGAATAGGGTTCGCAGCGTCGTCGGCTTCACCACAGGGGCAAACAGCTCCTTGAAGTCCACCTTCTCCTTCTGCTGGTACCCCTTGGCTACAAGCCTAGACTTGTAGCGCTCGATCTTGCCGTCGGCATCCGACTTGATTTTGAAGAGCCACTTGGACGTTATCGCCGTACGCCCCTCCGGTAGCTCCACCAATTCAAACGTGTCATTCTCCTCGATGCTCTTCAGCTCACTCTCCATGGCCTTCTTCCACTCCTCAGCATCACTACTCTCCAAAGCCTCCTTGAGAGTTGCTGGTTCTCCCGGCATCTCCACCGGAGAGAAGAACGCGAAGGCACACTCCTCGTAGTCACTCTCCTCGTCGTCTCCGACCATCATTGCCGCTCCGGCCAGGGCTGTCTTGCCCTGCTTTCCCGGCGCATCATAGGTCAGCCTATTAGAGGGTTGAACTCTCCTCTTCCCCCTTCCTTCCTCCTCAGCTGCAGGGACTTGAAGGCCTTGGCGTTGCTGCGGTGTGGCTCGAATCCGTGGAGCACTCGTAGTACGGGAAGGGAGTGACGCTGCACGCTGCTCACTTGCTGCACCTCCTCCTCTTCTTCCTCTGCATCATTGGCCTCCTCTCCCCCATTCACAAGGGAGGATTGCCTTGTGGTTGTGCTGCCGCTGCTCAGCTCCAAAGGCAGCTCCACATGCTCCAAACCGGAACTCTTCACCTCCCCAAACCGCACGCCTATCTTCGCCTCATTCTCCGCCTTCCAATCCTTGTACATGAAGTTCTCCATGAACTTGCAGTCCCTGCTCACCAAGAACTTCTTGGTGAATGGGTCCCAAAGAAGCCATCCCTTGCTGTTTTGAGCCATGCCCAAGTGCACGGCCCACACCGCCTTGGCACCAAGCTTGTTGTGCCGAAGATGCTTCGCCACGAGCGCCATGCACATGCACCCGAACACCCGAAGCATATCCACCTTTGGCTTCCTTCCTAGCCACTCCACATAGGGCACCCATTTGTCTGCTCCCACATGAGTCAAGGCTCTGTTCTTGGCCACACACGCGCTCCGCACCGCATCAGGCCAGAAATAGTCGGGTAGCCCGGCTTCAATGAGCAACCCGCGTGCCGCCTCCGTGATTGTGCGGTTCGCTCGCTCGGCGATGCCGTTCATTGCAGGGGAGTATGGCATGGTGAGGGAGTGCCGAATACCATTCTTCTTCAGCCACAACCCAAACTCCTTGCTCAGGAACTCTCCCCCTCGATCGGTGCGGATTGACTTGACTAGACGGTCTTGTTGCCGCTCCACCATCGGGAACCAATCCGTCTTCAACGTTTCAGCCACGTCGCTCTTCTTGGCCAGCACGTACACCCAAGTCATGCGGGTGTAGACGTCGACAATGGTGAGAAAATACTCAACTCCAGCAGCTCCAAGCTTCAGGGGGCCCACCACGTCCATCACCACCTCATCAAGCGGTGCCTTTGCCGTTGCCTCCGAACTAGGGAACGGAAACCGGGTGAACTTGGCTTGAATGCACGTCGGGCAGCCAAGCACCTCATCGGGCTCCCCCTTCACACGTATGCCAGCAACCATCTCATTCTTCACTAGCTGCTGCAAGATGGGCAGGGCCACATGCCCCATGCGCCAAGCAAGGTGAGCCAATCACACTCCCCCGTACCCGAAGTTGGATTGGAGAATGCCGCACTCGCAATAGCGCCCCACATACTCTCTCCGTAGTCCTCCTCCGCTGCTGCCTCTGGGTTCTCCTCACCCTTTTGCTGCTCCTTGGTTGCTGCACCACTCTCCTTAGGTTCACTGAACTTGCTGGTCCCTCCAGGTTTGCTCTTCTTGAGCTCATTCTCCTTAGCGCGACCGTTCGCGCCATTGTCGCTACCGACCGCTCCATCCTTGGTGCTGATGTTTGCTGCCACTTGCCTCTCCTTAGGCATAGGGACCACTGGGATCTGCCACATCTCGTTGTAGACATCCCTGTCCTCATGAAGGTCCCAAAGAATTCGATCGCCAAGCCTTGCGGTGTAGGTCTTGGCTCCCTTCGAGTTCGTGTCCATGCCGGCCTTTGCCAACCGCCGCACGGAAATCAGGTTTGCAGCAAGGCTGGGCACCCAAAGCACGTTCTTGAGGCCCACCATCTTCCCATCAGCACCCTTGAACATGGCCTTGCCCATGCCTTTCACCTCTGCTCGCTGCCCCAAAGCCGATGTGACATGCTTCACCGGTGACGGCTCGAGTTCGGTGAGCAAGTCCGGGCGAGGTGTCATGCTATAGGTAGCGCCACTATCAATCACCCAATAGTCCAGGGGGTGTAGGGTCACCTTCCCCACAGCTGCTGGCTCCTCAAAGCCTTCATCCTTCTCTGGACCAGCCGGTACTTGCGTCGACACGAAGTATAATAGACCCGGGTATCGATCGTCGCTCGGGTCCTTGTCGTTGTCTCCGCTCTTCATGTTTGCAGCTCCGCCACCGCGACCGCCACGGCCTCCACGGCCTCGTCCTCTCCCTCCTCCTGCTCCTCTACCCTCTTGGCCTTGAGCAGGGGTCCAACCATCAGGGAGTTTGTAGCAGTCGCGCCACATGTGTCCGCTCTTGTGGCAATAGTGACACTCGCCGTCGAATCGGCCGCGACCGCGTCCGTAGCTCTTGTCGTCGCTGCCGTAACCGCCACTCCTGCGGCCTCCGCCGAAGTTGCTGCCACCAAACCTTCCTCCCCCTCGTCCTCTGCCTCTTCCTCGACCATATCCACGGCCGATGCTCGCTGCCCCAGCGCCATCCGCACTCGCCAACTCACGGCGGCGGAAATCCTCTTGAAGGATAGCTCGCTTCACGTCTTCAAGCGAGAGGCGGGGCAAGTCGCGATTAAGGTTGATGATGAGCAAGGACCATGACTCTGGGAGTAAGGCCAGCAACTTGGTCTTCTTTTGGAGCTCACTGTAGTTCAAATCAGCTCCCTGAAGCCGCGTCAACAAGTCGAAGAATTTCTGCACCCCTTCTTCAACCGCTTCGTCTTCTTCAATTCGTAGTGCCGCCATTTGCCGTTCCAACACCACCGCTACCGCCGCTGTTGCAGGAGCATGTACACCCTTGAGAGCAGCCCATGCCTTTGGTCCCTTCTCTGGTTCACGCTGGAATGGCTTGATGTGACGGATCTGACTGCTCCCCAACGCTTGCCCAAGTAAGAGATAGCCTTGTGCGCTCTTCCGCACCCACGGGCTCTTCTCGGGGCGCTTCTCCGTTCCTTCCCTCACCTCCAGCGGGTCATAGTGGTCAAAGATGTTCTCCATCTTGAAGGACCATTCAGCAAAGTTGTCACCGTTGAACTTGTCAAGCCCAAACACCCTAGGCTCATCCCTAGGTGGGCCAAGACTTGGTTGCATGGGCGCCATGGCTGAATCACGGGGTTGGCCTTGAGCTTGAGCTTCTCCACTGCCACCAGCACCTCTGCCACCCCTTTCCTCAGGTCCAGACATTGTCGAAACTGCTCCAAGGGGCTCTGATACCACTTGTTATAGTCACAATAGGCTTGAATGTGCCTAAAACGAAAGATAGAGAGCACAGACGGATTTCTGCACAGCGGCTTCAAACGATGATAGCGTTCTGCTCACAGCTGCAAATGACTTGATTCAAATTGGATCTGGAGCGTCTTCACGTCGTCTACAGTTAGCAATTTAGATTGCACGATTTGATAAAGAATTGACGACACAGCGTCAGTTTGAACGAACGGTACTATGGCAGCCACTATAGTCTTAGAACACAAGATAGGAAGAGTTACGAGTTGGGAATGACTCCCAGCTCCTACAAACCCCAAGAGCCGAGGTACAGTGATGTGGAACAGTGCCACACTGTCCCCAACCACGAAGGGTCTCGAAACTACCCTTCACTAGGGCCTACACCAAGTGAAATGTTACACTACACAAAGTAATGTAACTATCTTCAATATCTTGAGGTGTACCCTTTTGGCAAGCTTCGAAATCACTTGAGGCTTGACACCAAGGCTCGGGCTCTTCATCACAAACTCATCCTTGAGTTCTTGATGGGTCTTCTGCACACACCTGCGACACGCCGAACGTTCGACACAGGACAAAATAGAAACCGCGCACGACAAAATAGAAACCGCGCGCGAGACACAAACGACCGCGTAACACGCGTCTAGCGATAACTCGCTATTGACTCGACACACACACTCGACATCATGACTCAACATTCACACACAATTATAAGCATGAAATATATATTATCCCATGCCCTCATACCATTCCATACACACACACATTCACGCACACGGACAACAAGCCGAGTGCAAACCGTAGGGTTGCACCAACATGATGCTCTCCCCGGACGCCCCAGAGCGTCGCGATGCTCTCCCCCAACGCCCCAGAGCTTCACGATGCTCTCCCCGGACGCCCCAGAGCGTCGCGATGCTCTCCCCAGACGCCCGAGAGCGTCGCGATGCTCTCCCCGGACGCCCCAGAGCATCTCGATGCTCTCTCCGGACGCCCCAGAGCGTCGCTATGCTCTCCCCGGACGCCCCAGAGCGTCACGATGCTCTCCCCGGACGCCCCTTAGCGTCGCTATGCTCTCCCCGGACGCCCTAGAGCGTCGCTATGGTCTTCCCGGACGCCCCAGACCGTCGCGATGCTCTCCCCGGACGCCCCAGAGCTTCACGATGCTCTCCCCTGACGCCCCAGAGCGTTGCTATGCTCTCCCCGGACGCCCCAGAGCGTCGCGATGCTCTCCCCGGATGCCCCAGAGCATCGATATGCTCTCCCCGGACGCCCTAGAGCGTCGCGATGCTCTCCCCGGACGCCCCAGAGCATCGCGATGCTCTCCCCGTACGCCCCAAAGCGTCGCGATGCTCTCCCCGAACGCCCCAGAGGGTCGCGATGCTCTCCCCGGACGCCCCAGAGCGTCGCAATGCTCTACCCGGATGCCCCAGAGCGTCGTGATGCTCTCCCCGGACGCCCCAGAGCGTCGCGATGCTCTCCCCGGAAGCCCCAGAGCGTCGCGATGCTCTCCCCGGACGCCCGAGAGCGTCGCGATGCTCTCCTTGGAAGCCCCAGAGCGTCGCGATGCTCTCCCCGGACGCCCCAGAGCGTCGCAATGCTCTCCCCGGACGCCCCAGAGCGTCGCGATGCTCTCCCCGGACGCCCCAGAGCATCGCGATGCTCTCCTCAGACGCCCCAGAGCATCGCGATGCTCTCCCCGGACGCCCCAGAGCGTCGCGATGCTCTCCCCGGACGCCCCACAGCGTCGCGATGCTCTCCCCAGACGCCCCAAAGCGTCGCTATGCTCTCCCCGGACGCCCCAGAGCGTCGCGATGCTCTACCCAGACGCCCCAGACGGTCGCGATGCTCTCCCCGGACGCCCCAGAGCATCGCGATGCTCTCCCCGGACGCCCGGGAGCGTCGCGATGCTCTCCCCGGACGCCCCAGAGCGTCGCGATGCTCTCCCCGGACGCCCCAGAGCGTCGCTATGCTCTTCACAGACGCCCCAGAGCGTCACGATGCTCTCCACGGACGCCCCAGAGCATCGCGATGCTCTCTCCGGACGCCCCAGAGCGTCGCGATGCTCTCCCCAGACGCCCCAGAGCGTCGCTATGCTCTCCCCGGACGCCCCAGAGCGTCGCGATGCTCTTCCGGGACGCCCCAGAGCGTCGCGATGCTCTTCTCTGATGCCCCAAAGGGTCGCGATGCTCTCCCCGGACGCCCCAGAGCATCGCGATGCTCTCCCCGGACGCCCCAGAGCGTCTCGATGCTCTCCCCGGACGCCCCAGAGCATCGCGATGCTCTCCTCGGACGCCCTAGAGCGTCGCGATGCTCTCCCCGGATGCCCCAGAGCGTCGCTATGCTGTCTCCGGACGCCCCAGAGCGTCGCGATGCTCTTCCCGGACGCCCAGAGCGTCGCGATGCTCTCCCCGGACGCCCTAGAGCGTCGCGATGCTCTCCCCGGACGCCCTAGAGCGTCGCGATGCTCTACCCGGACGCCCCAGAGCGTCGCGGCGCTCTCCCCAGCCGCCCCAGAGCGTCGTGATGCTCTGCCCGGACGCCCCAGAGCGTCGCGATGCTCTCCCCGGAAGCCCCAGAGCGTCGCGATGCTCTCCCCGGACGCCCGAGAGCGTCGCGATGCTCTCCCCGGAAGCCCCAGAGCGTCGCGATGCTCTCCCCGGACGCCCCAGAGCGTCGCGATGCTCTCCCCGGACGCCCCAGAGCGTCGCTATGCTCTCCCCGGACGCCCCAGAGCATCGCGATGCTCTCCCCGGACGCCCCAGAGCATCGCGATGCTCTCCTCGGACGCCCCAGAGCGTCGCGATGCTCTCCCCGGACGCCCCAGAGCGTCGCGATGCTCTCCCCGGACGCCCCAGAGCGTCGCGATGCTCTCCTCGGACGCCCCAGAGCGTCGTGATGCTCTGCCCGGACGCCCCAGAGCGTCGCGATGCTCTCCCCGGAAGCCCCAGAGCGTCGCGATGCTCTCCCCGGACGCCCGAGAGCGTCGCGATGCTCTCCCCGGAAGCCCCAGAGCGTCGCGATGCTCTCCCCGGACGCCCCAGAGCGTCGCGATGCTCTCCCCGGACGCCCCATAGCGTCGCTATGCTCTCCCCGGACGCCCCAGAGCGTCGCGATGCTCTCCCCGGACGCCCCAGAGCATCGGGATGCTCTCCTCGGACGCCCCAGAGCGTCGCGATGCTCTACCCGGATGCCCCAGAGCGTCGTGATGCTCTCCCCGGACGCCCCAGAGCGTCGCGATGCCCTCCCCGGACGCCCCAGAGCATCGCGATGCTCTCCCCGGACGCCCCAGAGCGTCTCGATGCTCTCCCCGGACGCCCCAGAGCATCGCGATGCTCTCCTCGGACGCCCTAGAGCGTCGCGATGCTCTCCCCGGATGCCCCAGAGCGTCGCTATGCTGTCTCCGGACGCCCCAGAGCGTCGCGATGCTCTTCCCGGACGCCCAGAGCGTCGCGATGCTCTCCCCGGACGCCCTAGAGCGTCGCGATGCTCTCCCCGGATGCCCTAGAGCGTCGCGATGCTCTACCCGGACGCCCCAGAGCGTCGCGGCGCTCTCCCCAGCCGCCCCAGAGCGTCGTGATGCTCTGCCCGGACGCCCCAGAGCGTCGCGATGCTCTCCCCGGAAGCCCCAGAGCGTCGCGATGCTCTCCCCGGACGCCCGAGAGCGTCGCGATGCTCTCCCCGGAAGCCCCAGAGCGTCGCGATGCTCTCCCCGGACGCCCCAGAGCGTCGCGATGCTCTCCCCGGACGCCCCAGAGCGTCGCTATGCTCTCCCCGGACGCCCCAGAGCATCGCGATGCTCTCCCCGGACGCCCCAGAGCATCGCGATGCTCTCCTCGGACGCCCCAGAGCGTCGCGATGCTCTCCCCGGACGCCCCAGAGCGTCGCGATGCTCTCCCCGGACGCCCCAGAGCGTCGCGATGCTCTCCTCGGACGCCCCAGAGCGTCGTGATGCTCTGCCCGGACGCCCCAGAGCGTCGCGATGCTCTCCCCGGAAGCCCCAGAGCGTCGCGATGCTCTCCCCGGACGCCCGAGAGCGTCGCGATGCTCTCCCCGGAAGCCCCAGAGCGTCGCGATGCTCTCCCCGGACGCCCCAGAGCGTCGCGATGCTCTCCCCGGACGCCCCATAGCGTCGCTATGCTCTCCCCGGACGCCCCAGAGCGTCGCGATGCTCTCCCCGGACGCCCCAGAGCATCGGGATGCTCTCCTCGGACGCCCCAGAGCGTCGCGATGCTCTACCCGGATGCCCCAGAGCGTCGTGATGCTCTCCCCGGACGCCCCAGAGCGTCGCGATGCCCTCCCCGGACGCCCCAGAGCATCGCGATGCTCTCCTCGGACGCCCCAGAGCGTCACGATGCTCTCCCCGAACGCCCCATAGCGTCGCGATACTCTCCCCGGATGCCCCAGAGCGTCGCGATGCTCTCCCCGGACGCCCCAGAGCGTCGCGATGCTCTCCCCAGACGCCCGAGAGCATCGTGATGCTCTCCCCGGACGCCCCAGAGCGTCGCGATGCTCTCCCCGGACGCGCCAGAGCGTCGCGATGCTCTCCCAGACGCCCCAGAGCATCGTGATGCTCTCCCCGGACGCCCCAGAGCGTCGCGATGCTCTCCCCAGCCGGCCCAGAGCGTCGCGATGCTCTCCCCGGACGCCCCAGAGCGTCGCGATGCTCTCCCCAGCCGCCCCAGAGCGTCGTGATGCTCTCCCCGGACGCCCCAGAGCGTCGCGATGCTCTCCCCGGACGCCCCAGAGTGTCGCGATGCTCTCCCCGGACGCCCCAGAGCGTCGCGATGCTCTCCCCGGACGCCCCATAGCGTCGCTATGCTCTCCCCGGACGCCCCAGAGCGTCGCGATGCTCTCCCCGGACGCCCCAGAGCATCGGGATGCTCTCCTCGGACGCCCCAGAGCGTCGCGATGCTCTACCCGGATGCCCCAGAGCGTCGTGATGCTCTCCCCGGACGCCCCAGAGCGTCGCGATGCCCTCCCCGGACGCCCCAGAGCATCGCGATGCTCTCCTCGGACGCCCCAGAGCGTCACGATGCTCTCCCCGGACGCCCCAGAGCGTCGCGATACTCTCCCCGGATGCCCCAGAGCGTCGCTATGCTCTCCCCGGACGCCCCAGAGCGTCGCGATGCTCTCCCCGGACGCCCCAGAGCGTCGCGATGCTCTCCCCAGACGCCCGAGAGCATCGTGATGCTCTCCCCGGACGCCCCAGAGCGTCGCGATGCTCTCCCCGGACGCGCCAGAGCGTCGCGATGCTCTCCCAGACGCCCCAGAGCATCGTGATGCTCTCCCCGGACGCCCCAGAGCGTCGCGATGCTCTCCCCAGCCGGCCCAGAGCGACGCGATGCTCTCCCCGGACGCCCCAGAGCGTCGCGATGCTCTCCCCAGCCGCCCCAGAGCGTCGTGATGCTCTCCCCGGACGCCCCAGAGCGTCGCGATGCTCTCCCCGGACGCCCCAGAGTGTCGCGATGCTCTCCCCGGACGCCCCAGAGCGTCGCGATGCTCTCCCCGGACGCCCCAGAGTGTCGCGATGCTCTCCCCGGACGCCCCAGAGCGTCGCGATGCTCTCCCCAGACGCCCCAGAGCGTCGCGATGCTCTACCCGGACGCCCCAGAGCGTCGCGATAATCTCCCCGGACGCCCCAGAGCATCGCGATGCTCTCCCCGGACGCCCCAGAGCGTCGCGATGCTCTCCCCGGACGCCCCAGAGCGTCGCTATGCTCTCCCCGGACGCCCCAGAGCGTCGCAATGCTCTCCCCGGACGCCCAGAGCGTCGCGATGCTCTCCCCAGACGCCCCAGAGCATCGCGATGCTCTCCCCGGACGCCCCAGAGCGTCGCGATGCTCTCCTCGGACGTCCCAGAGCGTCGCGATGCTCTCCCCGGACGCCCCAGAGGGTCGCGATGCTCTACCTGGACGCCCCAGAGCGTCGCGATGCTCTCCCCAGCCGCCCCGGAGCGCCGTGATGCTCTCCCCGGACGCCCCAGCGCGTCGCGATGCTCTCCCCGGACGCCCCAGAGCGTCGCGATGCTCTCCCCGGACGCCCCAGAGCGTCGCGATGCTCTATCCGGACGCCCCAGAGCGTTGCGAAGCTCTCCACGGACGCCCCAGAGCGTCGCGATGCTCTCTCCCGATCGCCCCAGAGCATCGCGATGCTCTCCCCGGACGCCCCAGAGCATCGCGATGCTCTCCCCGGACGCCCCAGAGCGCCGCGATGCTCTCCCCGGACGCCCCGGAGCGTCACGATGCTCTCCCCGGACGCCCCAGAGCGTCGCTATGCTCTCCCCGGACGCCCCAGAGCGCCGCGATGCTCTCCCCGGACGCCCCAGAGCATCGTAAAGCTCTCCCCGGACGCCCCAGAGCGTCGCGATGCTTTACCATTTTTGGCAGACACAGCCGTCATCGGCTGAAAGCGGGAGAATGGGGTGGGGCAATGGAAAGAGGGAGAATGGGGCAGGGTGATGGAAAGTGGGAGAATGGGGCGAGGTGATGGAAAGCGGGAGAATGGGGCGGGTGATGGAAAGCGGGAGAATGGGGCGGGGTGATGGAAAGAGGGTGAACGGGGCGGGGTGATGGAAAGCGGGAGAATGGGGCTGGTGATGGAAAGCGGGAGAATGGGGCGGGGTGATGGAAAGCGGGAGAACGGGGCGGGGTGATGGAAAGCGGGAGAATGGGGCGGGGTGATGGAAAGCGGGAGAATGCGACGATGATGGAAAGCGGGAGAATGGGGCGGGGTGATGGAAAGCGGGAGAATGGGGTGGGGTGATGGAAATCGGGAGAATGGGGTGGGGTGATGGAAAGCGGGAAAATGGGGCGGGGTGGTGGAAAGAGGGAGAATGGGGCGGGGAGATGGAAAGCGGGAGAATGGGGCGGGATGATGGAAAGAGGGAGAATGGAGCTGGGTGATGGAAAGAGGGAGAACGGGTCGGGGTGATGGATAGCGGGAGAATGGGGCGGGGTGATGGAAAGAGGGAGAATGGGGCGGGGTGATGGAAAGCGGGAGAATGGGGCGGGGTGATAGAAAGAGGGAGAATGGGGCGGGGTGATGGAAAGCGGGAGAATGGGGTGGTGTGATGGAAAGCGGGAGAATGGGGTGGGGTGATGGAAAGCGGGAGAATGGGGCGGAGTGATGGAAAGCGGGAGAATGGGGCGGGGTGATGGAAAGCGGGTGAATGGGGCGGGCGGGAGAATGGGACGGGGTGATGGAAAGCGGGAGAATGGGGCGGGGTGATGGAAAGCGGGAGAATGGGGCGAGGTGACGGAAAGCGGGTGAATGGGGCGGGGTGATGGAAAGCGGGAGAATGGGGCGGGGTGATGGAAAGCGGGAGAATGGGGCGGGGTGATGGAAAGCGGGTGAATGGGGCGGGGTGATGGAAAGTGGGAGAATGAAGCGGGGTGATGGAAAGCGGGAGAATGGGGCAGGGCGATGGAAAGAGGGAGAATGGGGCGGGGTGATGGAAAGAGGGAGAATGGGGCGGGGTGATGGAAAGCGGGAGAATGGGGCTGGGTGATGGAAAGCGGGAGAACGGGGCGGAGTGATGGAAAGAGTGAGAATGGGGCAGGGTGATGGAAAGCGGGAGAACGGAGCGGGGTGATGGAAAGCGGGAGAATGGGGCGGAATGATGGAAAGCGGGAGAACGGGGCGGGGTGATGAAAAGCGGGAGAATGGGGCTGGTGATGGAAAGCGGGAGAATGGGGCGGGGTGATGGAAAGCGGGAGAACGGGGCGGGGTGATGGAAAGCGGGAGAATGGGGCGGGGTGATGGAAAGCGGGAGAATGCGGCGTGGTGATGGAAAGTGGGAGAATGTGGCGGGGTGATGGAAAGCGGGAGAATGGGGTGGGGTGATAAGAAGCGGGAGAATGGGGTGGGGTGATGGAAAACGGGAAAATGGGGCGGGTGGTGGAAAGAGGGAGAATGGGGCGGGGAGATGGAAAGCAGGAGAATGGGGCGGGGTGATGGAAAGAGGGAGAATGGAGCTGGGTGATGGAAAGAGGGAGAACGGGTTGGGGTGATGGATAGCGGGAGAATGGGGCGGGGTGATGGAAATCAGGAGAATGGGGCGGGGTGATGGAAAGCGGGAGAACGGGGCGGGGTGATGGAAAGCGGGAGAATGGGGCGGGGTGATGGAAAGCAGGAGAATGGGGCGAGGTGATGGAAAGAGGGAGAATGGGGCGGGGTGATGAAAAGAGGGAGAATGGGGCGGGGTGATGGAAAGAGAAAGAACGGGGCTGGGTGATGGAAAGAGGGAGAACGGGGCGGGGTGATGGAAAGAGGGAGAACGGGGCAGGGTGATGGAAAGAGGGAGAACGGGGCGGGGTGATGGAAAGTGGGAGAACGAAACCGGGTGATGGAAAG